TTCCTCGAGCATCATCAAATTGTTTTGACTTGTAATTGAATTTGAGAGTAGCAAAACTTTTAATTACAGCAAAAATTCCGTTTTCGTGATTGTTAAAAAGGGAGATTACCTTCCTGAAAAAGAGTCGGAGGACGATAGATCTAGAGGCCCGGGTAAAAGGAAACCCTAAGAGAGAGGAAGAATCCCCTGAGCTGAAGTGAGAGAGAGAGAGAGAGAGAGAGAGGGGCATCGAATACACCGACTGGTTTTTTAGCTTGTGATGTTATGATGATACGAGAGAGAGAGAGGACACAAGTAAAACTGGCCAATAACAAAAAGACAAATTTTTTTTTAAAAGTCGAATATAACGGCAATTACATTTTTTTTTTTTTTTGGGGGGGGGGGGGTTAATTTTTCGATTTTTTAGTAAATTTATAATTCATTAATTAAGTTTTGCAATTTCTATTTAATGCAATTATAAAATTATTATTCCCATTTATAAATCAATTAGGCTACAACTTTTTCAATTCGAAGTAGCAATTACATTTAAGTAATATATATATATATATATATATATATTTTATAACTGCCTAAATTTCCAGCATATTATTTATTAATTGAAGTTGGTAATGTTTCATATATTGGAAAAAAATTTTACATTTTCAGAAAATTTATTTAAGAAAAAAAAAAAAAAAGTTTTAACTTAAAATAATGGATTAACTGTGGACAAGCCCGGATTCAAGTGTGATATGGGTTTAAAATGATTTAAGAAAATATGTAAACAAAAACAATTTGATAATTGATTTTGGTTGGTAGATCTTATCTTAATCTTGTTCTGTCGACGTCAATCTTTGAATGTTTGACAAAGTAACACCAGCTTGCTCGCGAGTTGATAGGAACAGACATGGATGATTCGGCAGAACAAAAATGGTTTGAGTTAGTAGGAACAAAAAAAAAAAAAAAAAAAAAAAAGAAGAAATTTTCTAATAATTTTAAGAAATACAGTTTTAAGCGAAGATGAAAAGGAGTGTTTTAATCTTTAATGATATTATTAATTTAATGCGGTGTGTAATGTTGTTGTGAAAAGAGAAAAAAAAAAAAAAAAACAAAGGAGTGGGGTCGTCTTCCTCCAAACCCTTTTTAAGATAAGAATGCCCAAAGTGGCAAAGAATTGCTTTTATTCATTCTTTCATATATATATATATATATATATATATATATAATTACAAAAACCCACTTCGACTTTTTGAAGATTTCACGCAGGGATTCTTAAAAATTACGAAATCCATGTATATACTCATAACGTGTGTGTTTTTACTTGTGTCAAGTGATGGAAACACAAACCAGGACTTTCTCTGTGTGTGTTGAATCCAATTTGGTTGATGGGATTATTTTAATTTAATTCAATTACCACAAGTATGCGTATGGAGCTTGGCGGTGTAGTTGCTAAAAGTGTGATGTTGCCGTACGAAAACAGCAGAAGAAAAAAAGCTCTGTTTAACGAATCTCCATTGCTGGATCCTGGACCACCGCCTCCGCCTTTACTCTCTGCCTTCCCTGCTATCCTCGCAAGACAGGCCATCGAAACAGCAAAACTAGTTAGCACATGCAAGCAACAAAACTATTTTAATGAAAGAAGAAACGTTTTGTCACCTAAGAATTGTAAGAGGGATCTTATGTTCGTGAACTTCTTTCATGGCAATTTGACACAATATCTCACTAATTTGTTTTACTTGGACAAATTAAATAATGAAAGAAGACACTTAAAATACAAACAATAAAACCCACAAGTACCATTAACATAATATAATGAAAAATAATAATATCATTTCAGAATAAAAAAAGGTCAACTAAGAATCATTAGTTTTGACTGACAGAACCACTTATGCATGCACTCCTATCCAATATGGTAAATCATAATTCTAATAGCTAATTACAATTAATTAAAAAAATTCTTATTTTCTAATTTTTTTTCCCTTTAAAATGAAGTCATAAATGGTGGCATCCATGTTGGAAGACTCATTAGTTAAGCTCAACTGGACTTAGTTCAAGAGTCATTGACAATTTATAATACACCAAGAACGTTGATTAAAAAGTATAGAGTCTTTATTTTTATATAATATCTATGTCAATCATGAAAAAATTAATATTAAAAATTCTAATGGTTAGTGATAATTGAATTCGCAAATATAAGAAGTCATTCAATTAATAAAATGATAAGACTAAAATCGTAAACAAAAATATTTAAAAAACTTACTAAAATCAAAACAGAAGGAAATAAATTGAAGAAATTTATTAGAATAATTCACTATAATAATTGATTTCATCTGAATCTTTAATATGTTTTGAGTCTTGATTCCGCAATCAATTTAATCTGGTTGCAGTGGTTGATGAAACGTTCGGACTTTCCTCCAGTATTTCTTTAAGTATATCAATTGACAATTACTATCATTTTATAACAATTGTTAATTTGATTCAATTCAATATTTGATACTTAATTAATACACTTTAAATTCACTATATTACTTCTGCTATAATCTCGATTAATGCTTAACAATAAAGATATAATTAACGAGATTTTATTCTAATTACTCTAAAATTATTAATCACAGATAAAAAAGTTACAGGGTTAGACCAATTCTCACAACTGATTTAGGTTACTATTGATAAACTGCAACAAAAAAGCAAAAAAAATAAAAAATAAAAATAAACATTAAACGTACCTTTGATTCACTCAGTTCATCTGCACATGGTGGATTGAGCAACTGCAAATTTAGTAGAGAAGATAATTATCAGGAAATAATAAAAACCATCTCTAGAAAACTCCAAATCCTAGCCGACGGAGCTTCCCCAGAAAATCCTAAAAATTCCGGCCCAACCATTCGTGCTAATCCAAGGCTAAACAAGTGTATTTAAAGTGGGGTGTTCATCCCCTACAAGATAGTAACAAATTTTTAAAATTTCCTGTGATTTTGGCTGCGGGTCAGCCGTCTTTCTCTTCTCAGCCGCTCACTCCACCACGCTTCTTCCCGATACTCTTGGCCTTGGGGTTCACCCTTCTAGTGGCAGAAGGAGATAGAATGTCTTCTGAAGATTCCCCGCAGATAGCAAATCTGATAAATTTAGAACGCCTCTTCTTCCTTATCTTCTTCTCCTTCCATCAATCACGAACCCGATCCCGCGCGCGTCTCTTCCTCTTCTTTTTCTTGGTTTTCAGCGTGCTCGCTCCTGCCTCCGGAGGGATGCCGTCTCTTGCTCTGTTTCTGGTTTTCAGCTTCAAACGGGGTCGTTTTAAAGTGGTGCCACAGATCTGGGCCTTTGGACTTCTTCCTCTTTTCTTCACCAATGCAACCTGCATTCAAAAATTTTGCTCATAAATTGATTTTTAACTCAGAAATTTACTAAAAAGTTGTTCCAAATGTAAGTAAAAAGGACATAAAAAATATTATCAAAGTATAACACGCCAGTTAGTAGCTACGAACTTTGAAATACAAAATGCACATGCGCATGTTTAATACAAGCGAAGCATCAATTGTTAACTAAATAAGAAAGGGCAGAGGAAGAAAAAGAAAAAGAAAGAGAGAGAGCAAATCCCAATCGCTCAATGTTGGTTCTAGGAGGATCATACGTCAAGTGGATCGGATGATGTCCGCACCGAAATTATGGAATCAGCAAAATAATAGTGATAATAATAAGATTGCTTCTGAGGTAACCTGATTTGTAAAGCTCGGGGTGCCCAAGATTCTGGGATGCTCATACTTTTGTAATGTATTTTGATGTTTTACGAGGTCTTTCTGAAGGCTCATGCGATCCTCTGTAATCAACTGAAACGAAACATCATCGTTGTCCTTGGTCTCTGCATCCTCTTCTTCTCCTTGCTGCCCATGTTCATTGACAATTAATAAAAAAAAAAGGAATAATTTAATATGAAATTATAGTAATGAATAGGTTAAAACTTAATATATATATATATAGAGAGAGAGTCAGTCATGTGCTCTGATGACATGGTTGGTTTATTTCATTATCAATTAGAAATAAGAAAAAGAGAGGGTAAATTAGTGAATACCCAAAATTTGTTTATCCTTTGAAAATGTTTAGAAAGGAAGATGGACAACACCTTCAACTTTCAATTTCAATAATATTTTTTATTTGTTGTTTGAATATTCAACTTTAAAAATTAAAAAAAAAAAAAAAAAAACACTATCAAACAAAAACTGGCAGCTCCAACTACCAACAACCCCTTTTTTTTATAAAAAAAAAAAAAAAAATCTTGTTCCAAAATAAAGAATAAAAAACCACGGGGCACGTGTGGTTGGTGAAGACTGTTATTATATGTAATAAATTATTTCTTTTTATATATTATTTAATAATTTTACGTATAACATTTGTGTCAATAATTGAGTAATAATTTTATTCAGCATATATTTAAAGAAAAAGTGTTGTAGTATGCATTGCAAATAATTGAGGAATATAGTGGGTGGTGGATTGTTGATTAAAAAAAAAAAAATGAAATACAAGATAACGATGCAAGTTTAATTTGTGCAATTTGGTTGGTGGTCAAATTCAAACCTTTTGTGCTTGACTGCTAGAGTAGAATATTTACCATTTCTACTTACCCACTCACTACTTCCACTATAAAAAGCCCAACCTCTATCACCCCACAAAACCCAATTGCATTCCCCTCTCAGTATCTTCTTTTTCGCAACTCTTCCAAGAAGAAGAAGAAGAAGAAGAAAAATGCAGAGCCTAAATCTAGAATCAATTCTAAACAATGCAGACTCCTCTGCAACCCTGCCTCTTCTCCTTCTTCTATTCTCAATCGTCTTCCTCGTTGCAATCAAACAAAAATCCTCCAGGAAACTACCTCTCCCTCCAGGTCCGCGCCCATGGCCCATCGTGGGCAACCTTCCCCAACTGGGCAAGAAAATGCACGTCTCTATGGCCGACCTGGCTAAGACCCACGGTGGACTCATGTCCCTCCGTCTTGGCACCCAACTCGTCATAGTCGGCTCTTCCCCTGAAGCAGCCACCGAAATTCTCAAGACCCACGACAAGGAACTTTGCGGCCGCCACGTCCCCATGGTTTCCTTCGCCACCGATCCCAAGCTCAACAAGGACTCCATTGCATGGTCCTACGAGTGCGGCAAAGAATGGATGGCTTTTCGTGCCCTCATGAGGACAGAGCTATTTTCCACCAAAATCGTTGAAACCCAGTACCATGTTAGGGAGAAAAATGTTCGTGCAATGGTGGATTATCTGAGCAGGAAACAAGGTGAGCTGGTGGCCATGAGAGACGTTGTGTACATCTATACATTTAACACATTGGGAAACGTCTACTTCACGAGGGATTTTATGGATTTCGATGGAGAAGAAGGGAGGAGAGTGAGTGCTCTTGTAAGGGAAATGATGGAGTTGTGGAGCGCACCAAACATTTCAGACCTCTACCCAATTTTGAGCAGATTCGATCTTCAAGGACTTCGCAAGAAGGCTGATGTTTGCGTTAAAAAAATGTGCGATCTATGGGATCACAGCATCAGAGAACGAAGAGAGATCAGGGGCAAGAGCCGCCATGATAGTAGCGATTTGGCGCCCAAGAACAAAGATTTTCTGGACATCCTGCTGGAGTCTGGATTTGATGATGAACAGATCAGTTATATCTTCCTGGTAACATCTCTTTCTAGCTCCACGTACGCATCAATTCTTATTATTCGCTACTTAATAAGTGAAACAATTATGCCACTTACTTTTTCTTTCTTTTTTTAGTAAGATAAAATGAGAGCTAACCTCAGTAAACGACGAGCTTACTTCAAATATAGAGCTTACATATACTAATATTAATGAAAATTCGTGCAGGAACTCTTAGCTGCAGTGTCTGACGGTAGCACATCAACAGTGGAGTGGGCCTTATCAGAAATGGTGAAGAACCCTGAAGCTATGAAGAAAGCTCGCCAAGAACTCTCAGAGCAAATCTCTGAGAGCTTTGTAACGGAATCACAGTTGTCCAAACTCCCTTATCTGCATGCTTGCATCAAGGAGACGCTAAGACTCCACCCACCAGCCCCAGTTTTGCTGCCGCGCCGAGCAGCCCAAGACTTAGAAATCATGAACCACACCATCCCCAAAAACGCCCAAGTCTTGGTCAACGTGTGGGCCATTGCAAGAGATGAAAAAATATGGAAAGATCCCATGAGTTTCAAGCCAGAAAGGTTCATCAACTCTAGTGTGGACTACAAAGGCAACGATTTTGAGTACTTGCCATTTGGTGCTGGTAGGAGAATCTGCGCTGGGTTGCCTATGGCCACCAGACAAGTTCTGCTGGCTTTGGCTAATTTAATCCACCAATTCGAATGGTCACTTCCCGACAATTTACGGCCAGAGCAACTTGACATGGAAGAGTTGTTTGGTGTCACCTTGCTGAAAGAGAATCCTCTTGCCCTCATACCCAAAAGGAAATTCTAAGAAAACTAAGTTTAATTTGCTGATTGTTGAGAGTATCTTCTTATAATTTATTGTATCAACCATGTACTCAGCTTTCATTTCCAAAATATTGCAAAGATAAGAAGAGATCGATGGTGATCTCTTCACTTTATTTTTTTATATTATAATATCTTTTATTGTTATAAAAAATTAATTTTTAAAGTATGCACAATTCCATCAAAGTAAAAGTAGAAAGAAAACAACACAAAAATTTTACGTGGTTCGGCAATGTGTCTACATCCACGGACAAAACTGGTAAAAAAAAGTTCTACTATATAATCTGAGAGTACATCACCAATAGGTTAGCAAATTTATTTATAGAGAGATCAGTAGGGTTCTTCACAAATAAAAAATTTCTAGAATACATATAAAATATTTTTCAAAATAAATACAAAAAAAATCTAAATAAATTATTATCAAAATATAGATAAATATCACTAAAATTCAAGAGACATTGATAAATCTTCCCCTTGGTTTGAATTTCTTCTATCATCAAAGTAGCTAACCATCTTGTCGCACCGTCTTACCAACATGCCTCCATTAGAGTGCTACTGAGTATCACATACTTCAATCAAGTTTACACCGTCCTTAAATTTGATATATGATCCTTGAACAAAGTGACTATCATTAAGTTCTTCACACACAACACCAATCATCTTATCTCAATAGTTGTGGATGAAGACCTATTAACCAAAAAACTAGCAGTATTCACAGCTTCAGCCCAAAATTCTTGTTCCACACTTGAATGAAACAATATGGTTCGTGCCCTATTACAAAACGTCCTATTCATGCGTTCTGCAATATCATTCTGTTGTGATATCATAACACAAGTGTGGTGTCTCACTATACCTTCCATACTATAAAAATCATCAAACTCATGATTGCAAAATTCTAGCTCATTGTCAGTCCTATGATACTTGATCTTCCTCTCTGTTTGCTTCTCAATCATGGTCTTTCATTTGAAAAATGTTTAAAATGCATAATTCTTGGATTTCAGAAAATACACTCATAACTTCCTAGAATAATCATCAAGTAATGTCATAAAATATATGACACCGCTCTTGGAGAAAACTTTGTATGGACCCTATAAATCAGAATGAATATAATCTAACTTACCTCTAGCCTTGTGCATGATCTTTTTGTTGAATTTCACTCTGGCTTGCTTGTCAAACACATAATGTTCACAAAAACTCAAATATCTTTCTTTATACCCATTCAACAAATTCTTTCTGCTCAAAACAGATAATCCTTTATTACTCATATGACCCAAACGTAGATGTCACAATTGATTCTAATTATTGCTCCATGATACTATAACAATTTCTCCTGAAATATTATTTCTTTGGGAAACATACAATCTAAATTCTAAACTATCTTTCATGAATACCCGGAGCTTTTGCACACTTTAAGAGTACTATTCTCTACATAATATTTATAACTCTGAGTTGCCAATGTAAAAAGAGAAATCAAATTTCTCTTTATTTGCAGAACATGCCGACACTCAATAGTTCTAATGATACCATCAAATATCTTCAATATGATATTACCAATGCCAATTACAAAAAACGAACTGTCATCTCTTATATACACGATACCACTCATCTGCTTGTAAGTAGTAAACTAATGCCTATGTGGACATATGTGGAATGTAACACCAGAATCAAGAATCTATGAGTTCTTTCTATAATATGAATTCACAAATAGAAGTACCTCAACACTGTTGCTATTACTATCATTAGAATTATCTCTGTAGACTATATTAGCAGAATTGTCCTGCTCTTTTCCTCTCTTTAACATAAGGCAATCTCTCCTAAAGTGACCATTCTCCCTACACTCAAAGCAGTTTTCTTTTTTACCTCTAGATTTTGATTTACCCATTCTCTATGTCTTTCTCCTATTTACAAAACCTTCCCCTTTTATTCTATACTCAGTGAAGTTCTTTTATAATTCTTTCGATTTTAATGCGTTGCTAATATCATCTAGTGAAATACTATCTTTTCTATACAGTAGAGTATCAACAAAAGTATCATAAGAAGATGATAATGAACACAGAACAATCAATACTTGATTCTCATTTTTAATCTTAATATCTATATTATTCATGTTTATAATTAAAGAATTAAACTCATCAAGGTGTTGTTTAATAAGTGTACCTTCACTCATTTTGAAATTGTGCAACTTTTTTTTTTTTCAGATAAAGGCAAAACGTCAATGATTTTGCATACTTGCCTTTTTCGACTCTCTCATACTCTCAGAATATCTTTCTTTAATTGTCCCCTACAAACTTTGTAGTACCAGAGACAATCTCATTCTAATCTTTCACATACTGAAACTTGTACCACCATCAAACTTTTCTATCTTATACTTTGTAGATGTCATCTTGAATCTCTAGATTGTGCACTAAAAAAATAAATAGAGAGAAAAAACACTATCAGAAAATAAAAAACACTCATGAGGAGTCACAAGTGCACATAAAATCATCAAATGCAACCAATGGAACACTGCACGCGCCGCCACGTGCTCCTCCATGCGTTGTCACATGCGCGACCACTAGAGATGTCACGTGCGGCCTCCAACCGCCTCTTGCTGCTGGTAGAAAACACCAAAAAATGCACAGAAACGTGCAACTTGACGGATCCAACATGGATCTGGTGAAAACGCGTCGAAAACATGTTAGGAACGTCGCAAATCGGGACTTGCGTGAACTTGGTGTCGCGACGCTAGTTCGTCTTCTCTAGCACGCGTTCTCCCTCTCTGGCTTTGGTTTCATGCACAGACGGGGTCGAACGTCGCAGATCCGCCTTTGGTTTCTCTTCTCCGGCCTTCCTCTTCGAGCAAATCGATTTTCTTCATGTGAGTCGCCGTGCTTCCAAGCTTATCCGTTTCAGATCTGATTTCGTCGGTTGCCACTCGCGCAAACCAGTTTTCTCCCCCATTGATCTGGTCGAATGGATGTGAACACGGACCATTTTGTCCATTCAAGTCGTGTTGTTTGTTGTTTCGGCCTCTCTATGCAGTTCACCTTCTTTAGGTAACTAGAAAAACCAGATTTAATTTTTTTTTGTCACTGATTGATATGCTTTCTCTCTCTAATCCAGCTGAAAACTCGAGCTCTGATACCATTTATTGGGAAAAATTAATCCCTAAAGCATGCACAATCTTATCAAAGTAAAAATAAAAAGAAAAGAATACAAGAATTTTACGTGATTTGACAGTGTATGTACATCCACCGGTAAGACTGGTAAGAAAGAATTCTACTATGTAACATCCTTTACCTCCTAAATACAAAGTAGAATATTTCTTAGAATAAATACATCAAATATTTTCTAGGTTAGCAAACTTATTTATTATAAGATTATCAAAGTTTTTCACAAATAAAAACTATTGAGGATATACATCAAATATTTTCTAAGATAAATACAAAAAAAGTCTAAGTAAATTATTTCCAGAATACAAATAAATATCATCAAAATTCAAGACACATCAATACTTGTCTTTTTACATAAGAATTAAAAATATAAAAATAACTTTGATGCTACACTAAATATTGCTGCTCTAAAACATATATAAAAGCTTTATCTTTCGTGGTTTTATGCTAAGCAACATCCTTTACCTCCTAATATTAGTTGGGGTATTGCTGTTTACCTATGATGCACCATGTAGTAGCCTTATCACACCTATTCATGCCAAATAAGTATTTTTACTTCGTCACTGTAGCAGTGATTATTTTTCTTCCATTTGCTTAGACGTGTATCTCTTAATTGGGTCATGGACATAGTAGTAGAATTTGTCGACTGATTTTTAACAAATGCAGTTTTTTTTTTTTTTGTAAGCCTATCAATAGACACTTTCCTCGTTGATCAATATTAAAAAAATTTGCCTTCATATTCTTTGAAACTCGTTTGTGGTTTAGTAAAATTTTTAATTGTCTGTTCTTATTTTCCAACAATTTATTTGTTAGTTATTATTAATCTTTAAAAATACAATTCATGGTTAGATAACTAACCACCTAGCTAGAGTAAAATATTTGGATTGCCACTCCAAAGATCACAGAATTTAGGAGGAACCTTCAATTCATTAAGATGATCATATATATCTAGAGGTATAATATTTAACACGGCACAAGCAATGACCAAAGCATGGTAGCCTGAAGTTTATGATAAAAGAAATTTATTACATGGCCAAAAACTAAAGGAAATTCGTCAACAAACTAGAAAATTTTCAGAATTTTTTTTTGGGTATGAGGGCAAGAGGATTCTCTTTGAGCAAGGTAACACCAAACAACTCTTCCATGTCAAGTTGCTCTGGTCGTAAATTGTCAGGAAGTGACCATTCGAATTGGTGAATTAAATTAGCCAAAGCCAACAAAACTTGTCTGGAAGCCATGGGCAACCCAGCGCAGATTCTCCTACCCGCACCAAATGGCAAGTACTCAAAATCATTGCCTTTGTAGTCCACACTAGAGTTGATGAACCTTTCTGGCTTGAAACTCATGGGATCTTTCCAGATTTTCTCATCTCTTGCGATCGCCCAAACGTTGACCAGGACTTGGGCGTTCTTGGGGATGGTGTGGTTCATGATTTCTAAGTCTTGCGCTGCTCGACGTGGCAACAAAACTGGTGCAGGTGGGTGCAGTCTTAGTGTTTCTTTAATGCAAGCGTGCAGGTAAGGGAGTCTGGGTAACTGCGATTCACATACAAATTTTTCAGGAATTTGCTCTGAAAGTTCTTCACGAGCCTTCTTCATAGCTTCGGGATTCTTCACCATCTCTGCCAAGGCCCATTCCACTGTTGACGTGCTGCCATCAGATACAGCTGCTAAAAGCTCCTGTTCAAATTAAAAAAAATATATAATTATTTTATAATATATTTAAGCTGTATAAAAATGCCGTCTATTTATACTCATATGATAATTAATAAAAAAAAATGCAATAATAAGTGTGCACAGTACTCATCAGAGAAGAAATTTACCAGGAAAATGTAACTGATTTGTTCATCATCAAATCCAGACTCCAGTAAGATGTCCAGAAAATCTTTGTTCTTGGGCGCCAAATCGCTACTATCATGGCGACTCTTGCCCCTGATCTCTCTTCTTTCTCTGATGCTGTGGTCCCATAGATCGCACATTTTTTTAACGCAAACATCAGCCTTCTTACGAAGTCCTTGAAGATCGAATCTGCTCAAAATTGGGTAGAGGTCTGAAATGTTTGGTGCGCTCCACAACTCCATCATTTCCCTTACAAGAGCACTCACTCTCCTCCCTTCTTCTCCATCGAAATCCATAAAATCCCTCGTGAAGTAGACGTTTCCCAATGTGTTAAATGTATAGATGTACACAACGTCTCTCATGGCCACCAGCTCACCTTGTTTCCTGCTCAGATAATCCACCATTGCACGAACATTTTTCTCCCTAACATGGTACTGGGTTTCAACGATTTTGGTGGAAAATAGCTCTGTCCTCATGAGGGCACGAAAAGCCATCCATTCTTTGCCGCACTCGTAGGACCACGCAATGGAGTCCTTGTTGAGTTTGGGGTCGGTGGCAAAGGAAACCATGGGGACGTGGCGGCCGCAAAGTTCCTTGTCGTGGGTCTTGAGAATTTCGGTGGCTGCTTCAGGGGAAGAGCCGACTATGACGAGTTGGGTGCCAAGACGGAGGGACATGAGACCGCCATGGGTTTTCGCCAGGTCGGCCATGGAGACATGCATTTTCTTGTCCAAGTGGGGAAGGTTGCCTACAATGGGCCATGGTCTTGGACCTGGAGGGAGAGGTAGTTTATTGGAGGATTTTTGTTTGACTATGATGAGGAAGACGATTGAGAATAGAAGAAGGACAAGAGGCAGGGTTGCAGACGAGTCTGTAGGGAGGATTGATTCTATTAAGGTCTGCATGGCCTTTTGTTTTTTGTGTTTTTTTTTTCCTTCTCTTCTTCTGCCTCTACCTTTGCTCAAACTCCTACGAGTTTTGTGTTAAAGGATGTCGGGTTTTTATAGTAAAGTGCAGGCTTAGTAGAAGTGAAATACTGACGATTCTCATCTCGCCCAAGAAGTTTGAAGGAAGCTGTGTAGGGTTGGTTGGGCTTTGAATTATTGACCAATAAAGGAACATCTATGTCATGCGGCCTCCACACGCGTGGAGACTCAATTGATGCAGAAATTTAAAATTACAACATGTTGATAAGATATATATATTATGATTAGTGTTAGTGGACCATGAGCCGCCAGTCTCGTTTATACATCTAACGTCGTCATTCTTGGAATTGATTTAATGAGTTTGTTTGGTTTTAAATTTTCTGAAGCAGCCGCGACTGACCAGGTTTCCTTTTTAGGCATTTACCCCAATTAGCCCGCCCACCAACCCACCCGTTGACATGACATGCTGCGATCTTCAAGATAAGCGTAGTGGAGACTGACTACTGGCATATCAACAGTCGACACTTGTTTCAACTTTCATTTTCCTCTTTTTTTTTTTTGTTTTGTTTTGTTTTGAGAAATGCTTTTACTTAATTACTAAAAACATATTGATAATTACAGCGTTACACAAATTCCTGTTTAACTTTATAGGTTTTTGGTTTACTTTTTTTAAAATTAATTACTTAATTAATACGAATCAAAATTAAACAAAAATAAATTTTAATTATTTACTCAAATTTATTATTGATCGAATCTCACTCAACAGAATATAAAGATACTTACACTATAACATTTTAAAATAGAATGACGAATGAAATTATTATTAGACAGCTTCTCAACAAATGAATAGATCAATTCAAAACAATGTATAAGTCACACATCCTAAGTCAGTGGTACATCTATTTCATTAGAAATTAATGACATTTTAAAGATATATTTTGAAAAAGGCTTGGTCTAAGATGTTGAATAATAAAATTTTATATATATTTTAAATATATATTTTATTAAGATTAAAGATATATAATGCAATATACAAGTAGGAGTATAGACACATTAAAGAAGTTAAATAATTAAATATTAAGATAATAAAAATTAATCTTTTTAATCCTATTTTATATTTTTTTCAAAACGTAAAAATTTTAATATGATTAAAGAGATCATAAGCTAAAGGTGCTAATGGTTGATCCCCCCAAAACATTAAGAATACTTCTTATTCTCAAAGTAAAAAAAAAAACGTAATTGAAAATACCAAATGATTGAACAATACTACTTTGATAACAAGACAGACATGAGATTTAATTGAGAGCGTGTAACAAATCAAGGGAGATAAAAGCTACTATATGGTAAAGGATGTTGCTTGGTACAAAGAAAGATAAAGCTTTTATATATGTTTTAGAGGAGCAATATTTGGTGTATCATCAAAATTATTTTTATATTCTTAATTCTTATATAAAAAGACAAGAGATATTATAATAAAAAAAAATAAAGTGAAGAGATCATCATCCATCTCTTCTTTTATCTTTGCAATATTTTGGAAATGAAAGCTGATTACATGGTTGATACAATAAATTATAAGAACATGCAGCAAATTAAACTTAGTTTTCTTAGAATTTCCTTTTGGGTATGAGGGCAAGAGGATTCTCTTTCAGCAAGGTGACACCAAACAACTCTTCCATGTCAAGTTGCTCTGGCCGTAAATTGTCGGGAAGTGACCATTCGAATTGGTGGATTAAATTCGCCAAAGCCAGCAGAACTTGTCTGGTGGCCATGGGCAGCCCAGCGCAGATTCTCCTACCAGCACCAAATGGCAAGTACTCAAAATCGTTGCCTTTGTAGTCCACACTAGAGTTGATGAACCTTTCTGGCTTGAAACTCATGGGATCTTTCCATATTTTTTCATCTCTTGCAATGGCCCACACGTTGACCAAGACTTGGGCGTTTTTGGGGATGGTGTGGTTCATGATTTCTAAGTCTTGGGCTGCTCGGCGCGGCAGCAAAACTGGGGCTGGTGGGTGGAGTCTTAGCGTCTCCTTGATGCAAGCATGCAGATAAGGGAGTTTGGACAACTGTGATTCCGTTACAAAGCTTTCAGAGATTTGCTCTGAGAGTTCTTGGCGAGCTTTCTTCATAGCTTCAGGGTTCTTCACCATTTCTGATAAGGCCCATTCCACTGTTGATGTGCTACCGTCAGACACTGCAGCTAAGAGTTCCTGCATGAATTTTCATTAATATTAGTATATGTAAGCTCTATATTTGAAGTAAGCTCGTCGTTTACTGAGGTTAGCTCTCATTTTATCTTACTAAAAAAAGAAAGAAAAAGTAAGTGGCATAATTGTTTCACTTATTAAGTAGCGAATAATAAGAATTGATGCGTACGTGGAGCTAGAAAGAGATGTTACCAGGAAGATATAACTGATCTGTTCATCATCAAATCCAGACTCCAGCAGGATGTCCAGAAAATCTTTGTTCTTGGGCGCCAAATCGCTACTATCATGGCGACTCTTGCCCCTGATCTCTCTTCGTTCTCTGATGCTGTGGTCCCATAGATCGCACATTTTTTTAACGCAAACATCAGCCTTCTTACGAAGTCCTTGAAGATCGAATCTGCTCAAAATTGGGTAGAGGTCTGAAATGTTTGGTGCACTCCACAACTCCATCATTTCCCTTACAAGAGCACTCACTCTCCTCCCTTCTTCTCCATCGAAATCCATAAAATCCCTCGTGAAGTAGACGTTTCCCAATGTGTTAAATGTATAGATGTACACAACGTCTCTCATGGCCACCAGCTCACCTTGTTTCCTGCTCAGATAATCCACCATTGCACGAACATTTTTCTCCCTAACATGGTACTGGGTTTCAACGATTTTGGTGGAAAATAGCTCTGTCCTCATGAGGGCACGAAAAGCCATCCATTCTTTGCCGCACTCGTAGGACCACGCAATGGAGTCCTTGTTGAGCTTGGGATCGGTGGCGAAGGAAACCATGGGGACGTGGCGGCCGCAAAGTTCCTTGTCGTGGGTCTTGAGAATTTCGGTGGCTGCTTCAGGGGAAGAGCCGACTATGACGAGTTGGGTGCCAAGACGGAGGGACATGAGTCCACCGTGGGTCTTAGCGAGGTCGGCCATGGAGACGTGCATTTTCTTGCCCAGTTGGGGAAGGTTGCCCACGATGGGCCATGGGCGCGGACCTGGAGGGAGAGGTAGTTTCCTGGAGGATTTTTGTTTGATTACAAGGAGGAAGACGATTGAGAAAAGAAGAAGGAGAAGAGGCAGGGTTGCAGAGGAGTCTGCATTCTTTAGAATTGATTCTATATCTAGGCTCTGCATTCTTCTTCTCCTTCTGGTGGCCTGTGCTAGTGTAAGGGGCAGTTGGGATTGCTGGAGTGTCGTGGTAATTTTGGTTTCAATAAATCGAAGAGGTCCTTTTATAGTGATAAAAGTAGTAGGATATTTGAGTGATGTAATATTACATTTATAATCAGAATGCTGACTTTTCTACTAGCACAAAAGATTTGAAAGCCATGTAAATTCAACGTATATGTCCATACACCACACTCCACCTACCCATATTTGAAAGCTATGTCCCTTTAATTTTTTAATAAATCACTTATTATATTAATATCCACCCTTAATACACTTATAAAATAAAAAAATTTTACCCACTTAATAAGATTTAAACTCAGTAATCTTTACATAAAACACAAATTTTTTTTATTTTTTTTTATAAATATAATTTTAAAATATTTTATTCTAATTTATATCTCACATTAATAAATTAAATTATCAAATTAATTGATTAATTAAAAATTGTTAATTGAACATGGGGAATGATGGGCTTTTTGTTGTAATAATTAGTAGATTGTTATGATCATAATTGACGGGGTGAGTATTATTAATTTAGAGACTTGACCAGCTCCTCATGTGACATGCCCATAATTCCGGGTATGGGGTTGGTGGCCGCCATTGTTGTCTTCTGCTCAATTTAATTTACAGGTCAATTGTGGGGATAAACTACAATTTCTTTTTCTTTTTTTGTTTTGGGTTTTTTCAGAGAACGAACAGATTACTTAAAACACTAAAAGTAACTGGATACTCATCCTATCCAAATTTACTATTACTATTACTATTATTACTATTTAAAGACTCTGAAATATTTATTTATTTAGCCTTTAATTTTATATTTATTTAATTGAAATTAGGCCCATGTAAGTCTTTTGTGGCCCATGACCTCTCCACACTCAATTTAATTTAAAACAAATTTCTCCCCAATTTTAAGATAATAATAAAATCAACAAATGGAGATGGATATTGGTCATAAATATTAATTAATTCGTGCATTCATATTTGTCATCTACTCTTTAAAATCGGGATTTGGCAATTTAATACTATCATTTTTTTTTTTAACAAAATGTAGGTTTCTAAAATTAGAATATATACATTTCTCAAAATAAAAAATGGAAAAATGTATTTTTGTTATCGCCATTAAAAATATATTAGGGTAGCTAATTATAATTATAATTATAATTAATAATTATTAATTAGTGGATGAAGTTTCAATTCAATAGCCTGTATTGTGAAAGAGTTGGGGATGAACATCCAATCCCAACATGAATTACTTGCCATCTTACATTATCCAAACTGAACCAACCATATATGTATAGCACCTATGCATGCCTTCCTATCTTTACCCTATATATTCCTAAAGATTTTACTCATTAAACCAACTTTGTATATACATATCTCACTCCCTCTCCCCTTTCTCATTTCCTTCCAACTTTTAGTTTCCCTTTCATTTTTAAACCTTATTCTCTCCTGTCTACACATTTTTATACTCCATGCCATACATATTACGTCTCTCTCTCTTTCTCTCTTCTACCGCAGGCTGCAGCTGTAACCTACTAGTTAATTACTACTTGTTTTACTAAAGACCGCATCGCAACTTAAATTCCCCAGCCTAATCTCAAAATTAACTAATCACCACTCAGATGGCTCTCAAATCTCCAAAACCCAACCTCCTCTTTCCTTCCAAAATCTTCAAACTCTATTATCTTTTACTTATCCTCTTTCTCTGCACTCTCTCTTACTTGTTTGGCGCATGGCAACACAGCGCCGGCGGACTGACGTCGCCCACCACAAGGGACTGTCTGCCTACCGTAAACTTTACGGCCCGCCTAGATTTCTCCTCCCATCACGTGGCGGACTTACAGGAAGCCACGTCCTCCCAGGAGGAGGCCAAAGTCTACCCACCTTGCAGCATGGAGTATGGTGAGTACACCCCCTGCGAGGATTACAAAAGGTCGCTACAATTCGATAGGACGAGGCTGATATACAGGGAGCGCCATTGTCCCGATAAGAAGCAACTTCTCAAGTGCCGAGTGCCCGCCCCCTTCGGCTACAAGAATCCTTTTCATTGGCCCAGAAGCAGGGATCTTGTATGGTACGCCAATGTTCCCCACAAGGAGCTTACAATCGAGAAGGCCGTCCAGAATTGGATCCGCTTCGAAGGCGATCGATTTAGATTCCCTGGAGGAGGCACAATGTTTCCGAATGGCGCCGATGCCTACATTGATGACATTGCCAAATTAATCAGTCTCAAAGATGGCTCTATACGTACCGCCCTCGACACTGGTTGTGGCGTAAGTTTCTTTCTACACTTGTCTTTTTCCAAATTAATTAATTTATTGCTTCTTTTATATATATTAATTACAATTTTTTATTAAAAAGAAAATCTAAAA